CAGCTGGCTTGAGCTTCCTTCCCCTGGGGTGACTGATGTCCATGGGAGCCGGGCAGGGGTGGTTCCCTCCCAGGACCCAGCGCTCAGTCCGGGCCCCTGCCTCCTTCCTCTGTGTGGTCACTCATTAATGCAGCGGTCATTTGCACCCCTGATGAATGCCGGACCCTGTCCTGGGACTTCGAATACTGCAATGAGATGACAAAGCTCCTGTCCTTAAGCTTAGGTTTCTAGTGACAGAGGAGGGGGGCGGTTAAAATGGCGAAGCTTGCATGTTAGCTGGAGGCAGAAGGGTATTGGGCAGAGGAGGAGGAGGTGTAGGGGCTGGGGGCTGCGGACAGGGCTGGGTGGGAGGTGACCTGCAGTAGCGAGGCCCTGGGTAATGGTGACAAGTCCAGTGGCCTTGAGGTGAGGGCAGGGCAGCTGTCGCAGCGTCGTGTGGCTGGATGTGAGAGGTCTGGTGGGATCTGAGCTGGTGATGGGGGCTTTTCTGCCAGAGTCTGGCTGCTGCTCACTGACAGAGGGTCTCCTTCATGGGGAGACCCTAGAAGCCACCCTAAGCCATTCCCTTCCCATGTGGCCTTTGACAGCTCAGGTAAAGTAGAAGTATCACACGTAAGCTTTGAGACCCAATGGGCTGCTGTGTGAAGGAGATGGCGGTCGCTATCTAGTAGCTCCAGTTGTTTTTACGGCCATTTCTCCAACCATGTAGCCAATACTTTGCAAAAAAATTTTTTAACATAATAGACTTTACATTTCTCTTCTGGAGGGAAAGGAAAAATCCTCAGGTTACTTAGAGGAGACTTGGGAGGGAAAGGATGTAGGTTTGGGTAGAATCCCAGCCCTTCTTAACCTGGATAACCTCCATCAATGTATTTAAACTCACTGTTAGTTTTCTCATCGGCAAAAACAGGGATGGTGACGATAATGTGTCATCACAGGATTGAGATTTACAGGTAACTGCACATCTTCAACACCCAACTCAGAATCTGGCCCAGCAGACACTCAGATATGAGTCCCCAGGTAATTCGAATGTCGACTGTGAGCCCAGAGCTGTCTTGGGCACTGTGGACTCAACAGAGAACCAAACCCTTGCCTCTAGGAGGCTTGTGTTCTAGTGAGCATGGGGGAGATGGGCTATAAACCACACACGGCATCAGTCCCCCGAAGAGAAATAAAGCAGGTAAAGGATGATGGTGGGGGTGACAGCTCTATTCTGGGAGATATCTGGTGACATTTGGGCAGAGTCTTGATGGGCCCAGGTGGTGGCTGTCACTTGTGAGAGTTTTGGGCACCGTTCCTTCCGGCACATGCTCCAGTGTGTGGAGGCACGACTGGCATTTGGGTAATTTTCTTGGATTTCTTGGCACTGCCATCTAGCCTCTCTCTGCTTCCTTTGCAGGGTTTAACTCCCTTGTGGGCGGCGTGATGGGCTTCTCCATTCTTCTGAGTGCGGAAGTGTTCAAGCATGACTCAGCGGTCTGGTACCTGGACGGCAGCATAGGTGTTCTCATCGGCCTCACCATATTTGCCTATGGGGTCAAGTAGGTTCTTGTGCTTTCCTCTTTGCTTTCCCGGCAGCCAGGAGCGCCACTTTTCCACACCTTCCTCAGTCAGGAAATGATAGAGTAGGCTTCTGAAGGTCACCTTTTGTTACCTGTGCCCCTCCTGAGCCTGACCAGTGTCAGGTGACAGGAAAAGCGCCCAGCAGAAGTCAGATATTCTTGAGGCTGGCACAGAAGTGAGGGAGGGACAAGAGGCTTCAGGCCTTTAAGCCATAAAGGCACTCCCTTCCTTCCATCGCATGCCTTGTGGAGCCTGTATCCTGACATGTATGCTCCTTCCTCTCTGTCTTCATGATGCCCCAGGGAAGCACCTTTATGTGATTTCCTTGCAAGTGGAGCCCTTCCTGCCACACGTGGGGAATGCGACAGTGTGCTGGTCAGAGGGTGCATCCCTAGACTTAGAGAACTTCTGTGAAAGGGGACTAGTCAGTGCAGAAAGGCCACGAGGCGTCACTGACATGGGCGTCAGCACCCAGGCTGGAGCTGGCCTTTCAGAGAACCGTTTGTTTCTAAAGGATGCTGTGCTTTTAAATGCTAAAATGCTTCCATCCCTCAAGGAAAGGTAGGATGGCTATCATCAAAAAGAGGGCCACCTGCAAGTGTAGGTGAGGAAGTGGAGCCCGCATCTATGGCTGTGAGAATGGACAGTGGCGCAGCCATGGTGGCAGCTCCTGAAATTGTGAAACGTGGAGTTACCATGGGCCCCAGCTGTCCATGAAATAAACAGCAGGGTTATTCATAACAGGCAAAATATAGAACAGCCCAACCGTCCATTAACTGACGAATGGATAAATGTGGTAGAGCTATGCAGCGGACTCCTATTCAGTCCCAACAAGGAACGAAGCACTAACACTCGCTACAAGGTGGATGGAGTTGAAATGTTATGAAGGAAGTCACGAAAGGCAACGTGTTGTGTGACTTTGTTTATATAAAACATGAAGAGGCAAACCCACAGAGGCCAGAAGGAGGGTGCTGCTCATCAGGTGTGGGGAGGATGGGGTGTGACGCCACAGCAGGCATGGGGTTTCTTTTTGAGATGACACAAATTGATGAATATACAAAAAACTGCTGAGTTACATAGGGTGAATTTTGTGGTATCTGAATTATCTTAGAAAAAAAAAAATGAAAACATGTTTCCCTAAAGCTCCCAGCCCCATGCGCTGGAGGGTCTGGTGGGGAGGTGACTTTGTCTATCTTGTCTCTGCAGACTCCTCATCGACATGGTGCCGAGGGTGAGGCAGACACGTCACTACGAGATGTTTGAGTGAAGGGGGCCAGCGTCTGCATGAGACCATCGAGGTTAGAAGTTTCCACATAGGCAAAGGGTGCCAATATTTAACTGAACATCTTGTTTCTTTTTGGAAGTTTTCTTTCACACGATCTGTCGTTACAAGACAAGGTCTGCCCAGCCAGGTGGATCTACCTTGCCCCCTTCACCTGCCACCCCCATCAAACATGTTAGGACAACGCCCCTAGGAGGGGACCCGCTTCCCCATCTCCAGCCGGGACTGATGTTTTTTATTCTCTGGAGTACGATGGTTCTCGTGAGTAGGATGAGACCTTTGCTTGGCAGAAAGGCCTTTGGTGGTGCTCTGAGCCTGCGCTGCATAGGACTGAGCAGACCCACCGCCTCCAGCCTGTGCGGCCCCCCTCTCCTGGTTCCAGGTCTGTCCTCTCCTGGCAGGTCTTAAGGGAAGATTGCACCCCTCACCCTTTACACACCCAGAACCATCAGTATGTCACTTCCTAATTTCTATCAGTGTATCTCATTAGTTTCATACTGTTTTACTAATCCTAAATCTAAACTGATTTGCTCAAAAGGAGACCATTCTATTTTTTAAAGTACTTAGTACTTAGTGATATACGTATGAGCTTTGCATGGACGAATTCAATAAGCACATGACCCTTTCTTGTACATTCAGGACCTGAACATCCATGTGAAAACTGGCTCCATTTTTGAGAGATGTGAAACTACGGTTTATTTGTAATAAATAATTGTAATCTATCCATATATGCATATATCTATACGCTGTGTTAAGTGGTAATTGTATATTACAGTCTGAGAGATGGTTCGCTGCTCTGTAAGGAACAAGACGTTCTCAGCTGATGTCATGGTAGGTTTCGATTCCGTAGCAGTGTTCCCCAACCTGCAACGTTCTGTACCTCTCAAGCCACTGCTCGCCCCGGCAGTAGTGTCTGACCAATAAAGACCTTCACCCGTTTTGTATGGTTTGGGAAGACAATCTTTGGGAGTCGTCACTGTGCGGCACCAACACATGGGGAGTCCCGTCATGGGCAGGTTTTTCGCTGTGGCTGAAGGATGACATGGGAGGGGAAGCTTGTGCCTAGGGGACCTGAGCGTGGAGCCCCTGAAGGACTGCAGCACAGACCACCCCCTCTGACCACTCAGGTAGGGGCTGTACACTCACCTGGCGGTGCTGGAGGTTGCTCTTGCCTGGAGCTGAGGGACAGCTGTGCCCAGGCCTTGCTCCAGCTTTGGGGCCCTGTCTGTCTCCCCTCCAGGCTGGTGGAGGGAAGGGAGTTTGTTCTGTGAGGTCATGGAACCTTGATCCAGTATCATCATGCTTACAGGTGTCTTCCCCAGCAGTGCCCTGAGGAATATGTCGAGGGATGTTAACATGTAACATGAAACTAAAGCAAGTGTGGGAAGTGCAGGATCCTGTTAGTTTCTCTTCTGCTGGTTTTCTTGCTGGGTCTAATATACATCATGGAAACTAAGGGAGGGAAGCTAACAACTAACTGGTGGCGTTGCCCAAATGCAGGCACTCGGCTTTCCCTTGGCAACTTTTTCAGGACTTGTGTTCCAACAAACACGCTATGTGAACTGTGTGGTGTCTCCATTCTGGTCAGTAGCCAGGAGGCCCGCCAGCTTGAGAGAGGCCATGCAGATGAGGGCCAGTGTCACCTGCAGACAGACTGTCAGGACTAGAGCCTCCCTGTCTCTGGGCACTTGCCTAACCAAATGCTCCTGGCTCACTGCTTCCTGGGTTCCAAAGCTGCTCTTGAGAGGGAGAAATCTATTCCAGGTCCAGTGGGTGCTGGTGCTCAGCCCCTTGTAGGGCTATTTTCATTAGCTCATTCCAAAAGATTTTTATTAGTAAATCACTGGTGCGGTGCACAGTTATCTCAAAGTCTAGCAGTTCACTTTCTAATTCAATTCCCTTCTAGGGGAAGGCAGTGCAAGGAGAGTGCTCTAAAACGAGTAGCGGTGGGTGTGCTATAAGGGCAAGAAAACAGTAGAAAACCTTCCCTCTCTACTCTGTAAACACACCTTCCCGTCTTGCTAGCCGCAGTTTCAGCAGTGCGCTGCAAATGGTGAAATGCAGCTGGGGGAAGGTGTGTTGGGGACACATCGACAGCAGCTCAGCTTTGTTCTGGAGGTGACCCGGCATGCACACAGCCCCCCAAAATTACTTCCACCTGTCACACAAGAAAAGTTTATTGAAAAATAAAGTTCTCCCTAGTTTTCTCTACAACAGTGGAAAACAAAGCAGTGCTCTCTATGCCAGTACAGTACGTTTGGACAGCGACACTTGTTTGCAGAAGGCTGCATTACTTCACCCCAGAAGTGAACCACAGAAAATGGCTCTAACAGGATCTGTTTGAAGACACAGATGCAAATGGCCATTAGCTTAAAGACGTCAAGGTTGTGACAGCTACTACAGAAGGGACGTTACCATCTCCTTTGGCATCAACTATTATGCTTTAATACTTGGGTAGGACAGTGAGCAAAATGCTTCCCAAGTTCGCTCCCTCTCAGCTTTGGCGGACGTGAGACTGCTCTGAGGTTCCTGGCATGCTGTCCTGAGAGGCGTTTAGGCCTCCAGCACCACAGATCCTCTAAGTACCCACCCCGTCCCCACCATCAACAGTGGCCCTACCCACCACATAAGCACAGGGTTCTCCAGCTGTGGGGTCAGGGTGGCAAGGAGGGAGTGTCTTAAGGCTCCACAAAACCTGGGCCAGAGAGACGCTTTGCAGACGGGAAATTCCAATCAATCAATCACTGCATCCATAAGACTATGAGACTGCTGATTTGGCTGAAGAGAATCCAAAGGAATTTGAAAAAGACACCAAACTCCAGCAAATTCCACACCTGCAATCTATCCAGAGTTGTGCCAAGACAGGGCAGGAGATAAAGAGATAAAACTTTCAACCCACCGGGGAAGTAAAAGGCTAATCTCCCAAAACAAAAAGCAAACTGATATTTAGGTGGTTTGGGAAAACATCGTTCAACTGTGAGCAGCCTCTAGGAGCTGTTCTGAGAGGCCAAAACCCCTGCCCCATCGCCCCCATCTGGCAGGGTGGGGTTGGGTTTTCTCTGGGACCAGGCCAGGGAACAACCTTTCATTTGATGGAAACATGCAGAGCTAACCAGCCTGGGAGTCCGATCCCTGAGGACAGGAGGGGCCACCCTAGCCCCTAGGGGGCAGCGAAAGGACCCGCTTGAGGCATGCGTAAGTTCAAACGGTCGGTCATTCCCCCTTAACACAGTCAAGCCTCCATTACTGCAAAGGAATACTGTTAACTTTGACTCAAGGGGCGCAGTCTGTCAGAGAACACATTTCAATTTCTAGCTCAAAAATGTTCCTTGAAGAAAACCCCTGGAATGTTCTGAAAGACATCAGTGGGACAGGGTCCGGTATGTGGCTGGCCAAAGGTCACCTTTACCCTTTCCAGCTGGAGTTCATAAATTCTTGCAGCCTTGTTTCCTTGGGGGCTGAAGCCTGGCATATTTTCAAACCAGTACATTCAAGAATACAGTAAAATGCCAACCAGCAGGGTAGGCCCAGAACTAGGAATACTCTAAACCAGTAATTCTACAACCTTCAATCAACTTGGAATCATGTTTTCATGTAGCTATCATTTTTGAATCAACAGGAAGGGAATGAGCTCAGCTCTTTATTTCTCAAGTTTTAGGAAACACTAATGACAATACTCAACATTTACTAGGGCTTACTATGTGCCAAGCACTGTGCTAAACACTGAATCCTCACAAAACCCTAAATGCTAAGAAAGCTAGGGTAATTTTTTTCTGCATTCGAAACTCTACAGCTAATTTGGTCTTTTGCTATAAAAACTTTGTCTCCCACTTTTTGTTGAAGCCAACAAGAATCACAGGAACTCACCCTCAGCTTCACCAAACTCCCAGCTTCCTAAATGAGCATGAATCTATTTCTGTCCATCCATCTACTCACATGAAGATGCTCTGCAGCCCCACAGGGACGAATGGGATTAGAATAAAGCCAATAGGGAATTTAAAATACTTTTAAATAAATAAAATAATCCAGGCTTGGGATAGTAACACATATAACACAGCCTGTCGTTAACAAAATACCTTTTTTTTTTTTTTTAAATCAAGAATTTTTGGCCAGAGGGGAGGGTGGCAATGTCTAATTATATACACACACTAGGTAAACCACCTTGGAGAAATGGGGTGGCCACCTTGGTCTGCTCTAGAAAGCACACACCTACCTATAGACACGCAGTTTCAGTCCAACACATCATACTGATGTTAAACCCTGCCAGTGAGTTGTACTGGGCTCCACTCCCAAAGGGGAAGCTCATTATTCACCTTCATTAAATCTTGCATTCACTAAGGAAACAAAAAAGGGGTGCACGTCCTTTCCCTTTCATGATGCTAACTAGTTCAAGTATTTCTTCTCCAAGCAGGGCCTTGAACTCCTTGGATGCACCCGCTCACATGCTTCTGCCTCAGCCACACCTCAGCAAGTGCGTCGTGGCAGGGAACACAGGTCACTTGGCACACTGGCAACCAGCAGTCCCAAGGCAGACCAGAAGGTATGGCAGAATCCAGCCTTTTCTTGAGGTTCTCAAGGCTTCACACCCTCCTCTGGGGGTGGATGCATACATAGTATGGCCTGGCAGGGGGGTTGCAGGGAGCTTCTGCTGTCCAGCCTGAACAGCCACAGTGACCCAAGGACACGTCCTGTCTCTTAGCTGGAGGAGTCTGCTATTGCCCTTCAACAGCATCCAGATTCCAAAAACCTCAAAGAAAAGTGAAAAGGCACATCAAGGAAACAAATATCACCAACGAAACAGACTAGTATCTCCAAACGCACAGCGAACACACAAAAAAGCAAACTAAATGAGCAGTGACAAAAATCCATTCCAAGCAAAAATGAAAAAAAAAAGCATCTTCATTTATACATGTGCAAATCAAACTGCATACACAAAATAAATGAGGTGTTTACTGGCATTCAAAGAAGTCTTTTTACTCCTGAAAGTATTTACCTTTCAATGGAAAGCTTTCTTTTTTCGTAAATTAGATAAGTGTTTTCCCTCAAGTTTTTTAAGAGCTTAGGATCACAATGGGGAAAATAATCCAAAACACTAGGCAAGATATGATTATAGTGCTGAAAAACATTAATCATGACTTACGATTTCTCTCCCCACGGAACTGTTATCAACAGTTTAGATCGGTTTAGGATTCTATCAAGATCAGCAACGGCAAACCCTCCACAGGCTCCCACCCAGCGGTCACTGGCACCTTCCTCTCCTCTTCCATGCAGGGCTGATGAAAGCCCCGTCCCACTTCTCTCCAGGATCACTGACCACACCTGGGCCAAGTCTGAGGCGGGCTGGGAGCCAGTACACACTCAGGGGTCACTGACTCTTCAGATAACGCCCTAAACAACTGCAGTGTGGGCCTGTTTGCTCCAAGAGCAGCTGCCCTGCCAGTGGACTTCCGGCTCAGTTCCAGCCAATGCTGGACTTGGGGTGACGAAAGACGGATTTTTAAATGGGAGAAAAGTACTGTTCCGGGCTGCCTGACCTTGGAGGGTAGAGTCATGACTTGGAAAAGAAAGGAAGGTAGGGAGGCCTTGAACTTAGGGACGGCCAGCAAGTGATCCCTGCAGCTTCTGGGACACAAGGCGGAGCTAAAGTTACTTTTCAGCTTTCTTGCTTAAGCAGCAAAGGCCAAGTGGGTTAAACTTCACTCAGCCTGCAGGCTCCCCCTGCTGGTCAGATGCTTGCATTGACATCCGCAGTGTTCACGGCTCCTGGAAGACCCCAGGAGAGGGCGGCGCTGGCCCAGGGATTGCAGGTTGGGGTACTCTAGCAAATGCCCACACCCTAAAGCCAAGAGGCCCGTTCACAAGGAAAAGCTCTTCCTCACAGCAAGGATAGCAGTCATCTGCCCTCCTACTCCAGGAAACTGCCCTTGCAAAGCTTAAAGAAATGCACGCGCTCATACACATACACACAGTCACCAACAAGGTTTCCTTTGGACTTCCGCCCTTCTTGCTAGACCCAAGCAGAGGCTATTCTCAGCCAGGTCTAGAGGTACCCCCATGATGGCGCTCAGGGCAGAGCTCCCCCACCGCCCCCGCCATGGTACTCTCCCTGGCAGATGTGTGCAGGGGCCGCCTAAGGAGTGGAGGAGACCCAGGGTGTCTCCTCCCTCCTCTATTCTCTTAAACGAGGTACAATTCAGACCCACTGAGCAGGGGTCTCAGTGGGCCTAAGAAAAAAGGATGGCTGCACATTTGTGTAGCAACTGAGAAAGCAGAAGAACGTAACTTCACAAGACTTAAAAGGCCCCACACTAACTCTGGTCTCCATGAAGCAGAATTCTTCCTTTCCCTCACATTCTGAAATCCCACCAGCCATTAAGCTTTGCCCAACAGCTCTGCCCGGCAGAGGCTCCACCAGGCTGCCCTCTGTTAGCAGACATGGTGCTTGGAAGCCCCGGCACGAAGCACATCACTGAGTGACCAAGGCACTCAGAAGGGGCCAGGTGGATAATGCCAAGTGCTCACATCAGGCAGAATGGGGTTCACTTGCATCAGCACGGTGATGTCAGAGGCTTTCCAGAAACTTACAAGCTTGTACAGAGCATGGCGGCGACAATTCAGAGGGGATGGAAACTTACACAGAGGCAGAGCATGGGGAGGTCCAGGGTTTGGAAGGTGAGGTCCAGTGTGTCTGACCAGGCCTACCTGCTGACTGGTTACTCAACAAGTCAGAGTAATCCTGCCTGAAGGAAAAGCCAGCACCAGATTCCCACTTTGAGCCACACCCTCAGGTAAGCAGCCAGGACAGTGCACTGCATTCATCTCGAGCCGCCCCCGCTCCCCCAGCAGACATCAAGAGCCCCCTTCCCTGGACTTTGGTGCCATCAGAGGGGACACAACACAAACCTACCTGTCAGGAGCCCAGCTCCGGTCATGCCACAAGTTTTTAAGGACCGACCTCACTCCCGTCCGAATCTCTGCTCAAAGGCAACCCTCTCCAAGTCCACGAGCAGCGCGTGAGTCCCTCATCTCTACTTGCCTCCTCACAGTGGGGCCAGAGGGAGGGGGAGTTTACCAGAAACTCCAAAATCCCTCAGTCCCGTATTTCTTTCCTAAAGGGATTCTAAAAGAAATTATGGCCAAGGAATGTGTCTGGGCATGGGGACATGGAGGAAAAGGGCCTCGTCTCATCTTCTGTCCCTGGCTGGGCTCTCTGGACAACACAGGCACATCCCCCCGAACGAGGCAGCCCATGCTCTGGCTGCCATCTATGACAATGCCCTGGGGACTTTGGCTGTGCTTCCAAAGTGAGAGTTTCTTTTGCTCTGCTGCCAATCGTTTTGAGCAGCCAGGTCTCCATGGCTGCTCCTGAGCACACCACCAGCCCCACGGCACACTCTGCCTCCCTCCGGCACTCGGCTTGAAGCAGACAGAATAACAGTATAGTGAAGGTGGATGATTAACATTGGAAGTAAAAGAAGCCTGTGATCAATCCCTCCTCTCCCTCCCTTGGTCCCCTCCCTCCCACCCAAATAAATAAGTTAATGGGTTTAGGAATGTTCCCATTCAGAGTTCTCTCCCATCAGCTCAATTCCTCCTGTTTTGTTTTAAAGGACTCTCGAGACTTTCTTTTACCCTGGAGCAGCTGCAGTGACACAGTCTTCCCACAGTTGCTCCTTGAGAAACAGGAATGATGTTGTGCCAGGGGCAAGCCAGGCGCCCGGCCTGACATACACTCTCGTTTTGTTTTGGTGAAGACTCCACTGGGCTGCTCAGAGTGCAGCAGGAGCGATAGATACCAAATCAGAACCTTCTACCAAAAAGTTCAGGCTCTTGCCAGAGTCCCTGGATGACTTCTGCCCCTGGCCCTGTCTGACGGGGCTGGGGCACTGTCTTCCCCGGCAGCATGGTGCGGGGCTGAGCAGGTGGCCGCTATAGGCAGTCTTTGCAGAGAGCCACTTGGCCCTTGATGAAGTCCCGGCAGGGGCAGACTCTCCGGTGCCTGGGGTGGGCGCCTGCGCAGCTGAAGAGCAGGAGGTCCCCTTGAAACACACAGTGCTTATTCTTGGGGTCAAAGGAGGGCACCAGGATGTCCTTGGCCAGTTCTGAGCTTTGGCAGGTCACCTCATACCTGAAGAGGAAGAGAAAGGAACAAGAGTTGGTGATGCAAGGGACAGGGCCTGTCCTCATCATTGGCCCTGTTAGCCCCCGTCTTGAGGCATGGGGGATGTTAAGCTGTCTCGTCCTACTTTAGAAATGAAATGGTGCCCACCCTCTGCCTCTGCAATCCTCCACCTCCAGGCATCTAGACTCAGGAAGGCATGTGTGTACCAGGCTGTGCATGCAGGGGTGTGTGTGAGGCTGCTCAGCGAAGCTTTGTCTGCAATGGAGAACTGGAAACAACCCAGTCACCAAGCTGGGAATGGCCAAATAAATCATGGCCCTTCTGTGCTTTTAGACTTCTCTGCAGCCACTGAAAAAGAATGGGGGAAAAGCGAGGAACAGGAGAGTCACCCTGAGGAAAGGCGAGTCCCAGAATGGGAAGCACAGAGCAATCAGCCCGCCGTGTGCACATGGAATGGTCGAGACGGCAGCATGCTAATGCCTTAGCAATGGTTGCTTCCAAGAAGTGAGAATGGGGCAAAGCTAAGCATTATTTAAATTTTTTTTAAGTATGTTAAACTTTTTAATTAAAGGCTTAAAAAAATTCCTGTTACATAGCCTTAGCTTCTTGCTGGAAAGCAATCAGACAGAAGGTGCTGTCCCAGGGGCATCGGCTCCTGGGGTCTTTGCAGCCACCCTTCAGCCACAGCAATGGTGGTGTGGGCCTGAATCCAGGCCCTCTCTCCCGAGCCCTGCACTCTTGCTCCTCTGCCATCTTCTCCCAACAGCTGAGTGGTGTCAGGCTGTGGAGCCTGGTGTCTTTGCTTCCCTTGGCTCAGGCCACTGCTTGGGGGGACAAGGATATTCCGATGTTTCCAGTCCCAACAGTTTTGGCCTCTTATCTCAAAGAAGAGCCACATATCTTTCCCTCTCACTTGGGATGACTGCTCCATCCACCTTGGATCCCGAAGGAGGAGGCAGCCTCACCTGGTGTCCTGCATGAATGCTAGGTGGGAACCCATGCTGCACCCAAAATCAGAGAAGGAGGTGTCAGGGGGCCGGGCAGACCTGGGTTTGAGTCTTGGTTTCATCTTTTAGGAGCTGTGTGGACCTGGACAAATGAGTGAGCCACTGTGTGGCTCAGATTCCCTTCCGTGGAATGGGGATAAATAATCCTTACCTGTGGGAATTAAGTTAGTGCTTCTAGAGCATGTGGCAGAGTGAAGCTCTGAGTAAGTTGATAAATGGCAACTATCATTACTGTTAGGATCATGGTCATGGTTGTCATCACCCTGCCTTGACAGACACTGGGTGGGCTATGCCACCTCTCTTGCCTGTCCAATCGTATTAATTTACACACACCAACCATTTCCGTTTCACTTTGTTCATGGAATCTCACTTTCTGACAACAGGGAAGAAGGGATCAGGATGAGGAGCTTGAGGTTTCTCATTGCCTCTGGGAAGCTTCCAAATGGGCTTGTATGTTGTATATGTTCATGTGTGTATATGTGCGTGCACATGAGCATGTATGTAGAGCATGTTTATGTACGTATGCATTTGTGTGCGTGCATGCGTATGCATATGTGTATATGTGTGTAAAGCATCATTTTCTGTCGTACTCCTGCCCTGTCTTCCTCTAGCTAACCAACTGCCTGGGGTCCTCCTCCTCTTGCCAACATTAATCCTGCGATTCCCAGCACATGTGCTGGGGCTTCTGGTGAAGATCTCCCAGGCTGTCAGCCTGGCTCCTGCTCAGTTGCAGCTGAAGCCCCAACTGCTTCCGGAATTCAGCATGTCACTGGTGCTCGGGCCTCCCTCCCCCAGAGCCTGCAGTGCCTCCTGCACATGCTAACGGCACCAGGAGTCCAGGCCTTGTCAGGAGAGCAGGCCTCTCTTCTCTTGCTCCCACCGTCGCCAGGAGAGCGCTGCAACTTCCTTAAATACCCCTCCACCCCTGCTCTTGATGCCAGCTAGGAGATGATGATGCCCAGGGGTTAAGGTTATGAATCATAAAGGGAGAGGGCAGGAAGTCGATTTTTGTGGATTTCCTAAAAGGAAAAATGAGTCAGAGACTTGCATCTACTAGGTCCTTCACAGAATACCTCAGTCGTACAACAGAAAGGAGGAAATATCTGGAACTCAATTCTGAATGACAAGTTTACATATGGAACATGGCCTGGGGATACAGGTTTATACTTATGACTTACTTTTTAGGTGACTTAAACCATCTGCCTGGCACACTGCTAACCAGAGTGTAGATATCTCTACAGCGACTCTCAGACCCCATGGTGAGGAGTGTAATTGTCAGGAGCCAGGAAAAACCTTCCTGCCCACTCCCCGAGTCACCTGGACTCAGGCTCCAGGCCACCATCTCCCAGGGTGGAAGCATACATGGGTGCGTGTCTGTGAGCAGGATTTAGCCAAGGCTGCAGCAGCAGAAGCCTGCCTGGGGTGACACACAGAGATCATGGCAGTGCTCAAGCAGCAGGTGCTTCATGGAGCCCCAGGTGAGACCTGACACCAGGCAGCTCCTCGAGGGTTCAACTGATGGATGCAGTGCTGTGGAACGCAGGGCTCTAACCCATACCCTGGCCCCAGTGTCTTCTAGGACCCCTGGGAGCTCTCCCTTTTATTGTTATGCATATGCCCATCCCATAGCCCTTAGCACTCAGGAAGGTGACTTCATTTTCCTTGCTTAACTAGCAAGCAAAGGTCATCAGTGAGGTAAAGCATCTTTCCCCAATCGTTAGAGCACAGTGAGACCAGATAGCCTCTGCAGCCCAGGATCCTCAATCCCTAGATGGTCACCTGCCTTTCCAGTAGGTGCACGGTGCTGTGTCTGCCTCTCTGTTCCTGCAATGTCTGTCTTACAAACACTCATATCCTCCTTCCTCAGAGACTCACTGCAGTGTGCCATCTTCCTTTCCTTTCTTCCTACTTTCTTACAGGATAGGGCTTCTGGGCCCAGCAGATCTAAGTTTACAATTTACAGCTCTTGAAGAATAAAAAGAGGCAAAGCCCCCACCTAAGGGGCTGGCCACACTTCCTCACCTGCAGTCACAGGCACTAGGCTGAGAAGTCACCAGTCCCTTCCTGACACACAGACCCACAATGCATAGGATAGGACACACTCGACAGAAGGGAATGAATGCGGCTGTATCATCCGCTGCTCCTGCCCTAGAGTGACTTCCCTCCCTCAGCCCCCTCTCGAGAGGCTCTGTTCATTCCAACTCTGCCTTGCCAGGTCCCACCCGAACCCCCTCACACCTACCTTCTCTCTCTCAGGTACCAAAGCACTCAGAGTCTAGACTGAACTGCTTAGAATTCTTCTCACAGAGCAACCTGAGTTGCCAATAATTTAAAATTTTAGAAGAAACAACTTTAAGAGGTAGCAGAATTACAAGCTGGGCAGGAACACATGCCCCTATGCATGGAACTGAGGTCCTCTCCACTGGGCCCCACTGGAATGGACCCTGGAACTTCCTGGAGCCCTTCATCTTCCAGTCCCCACCCCAGTCCGGGAGGAGACTTGTCCAGAGGACAGGTCACACGGGAATCATGCGTGCCCTGTGGTGACCTCTCCAGCACTTACCTGCACCCTTGGGCCCTGCATGCACAAGAACTCAAGGCTGCTTTCCTGAATTGCCCTCATTCAAGACAACACAGGATGCTCCAAAGGGTTCCCCTGATGTGATATACTAAAGTCATGCTACAGAGTGAGGACAGGTGGTTCTTAAACACCGTGAAGAGCCAAAGACTGAAAAGAACTTACCTAGCTCAAACCAGGCTCCAAGTTGGAGACGAAAAGGCAGCAATGGCTTGCAGGAACTAATTGCTAATCGGCTATGAATATGGATGGGCCACCAGGATCACCTCCATACTGAGGAGGCACTCAATAGACTGCCAGATAGCTGGGGTTTTACAACATTATCAGTATTTACAAATGCATGAACAAGTTATTCAGCAGGGTTCTTATGTTCAGAGAATTAATTTCAGACGGCTTTATTACAAAATTAGCATTCATTCCAGCCTCCTGCTAAGCAAGCCCACATCTCTACAGCAGGGTAGGGGGTGGGAGCACAGTCAAGCAATCCCATGGCATAGGGCCTGGCCTCAGGACAGCCCCATGCCAAGTCCCTCTGCTCTCGTGGACTCTGCATGGACAAGGAGGTGGGGAAAGGCCAGGGCTGGGGCTGGCTTATCGCAACGTGGCGCAGTGGCTTCGGGCCTACTCCACTGCCCAGAGATCTTTGGAAGAAAGGGCTGTTCACTATCTTACCCATCACCTAGGATATCCCCATTTTACAGATGAGAAAACTGACGGAACAGAGGGAAGTGGCCATCTGTCATTTGCTCTTTCTCCCTCCTGCCTTCCCTGACCTAGACTCCTGGCCTGGAGGTGGCCTGCCTTCGTAGGGCCCTGTGCTAGCTCTGAGCCAGACTCTGAGCACAGTCCCTGGGCCAAGAGCCCTGACTCCTGCCTGGCCAGGAAGGGAGCCATGCTGTTCAGGAGTCCCATTTGGTCCCATTCCCAGGATGCCGCTTCTCATGTCTCTTATTTCAGAAGTAGGCTTATGCAGACAGTCTGTACATACAGTCCCTAGGTCTCTAACTAGTGAATTCTGACTTCCGTTGTAAAGAGTCCCAGGGTTCTCAAGAAGCCACCTTGCTCCAAGAGCTATTTGCAAAAGGAGCGAGTGGAAAGCCCCTGACAGAACCCTAGAATTCAGGATTTGCCCTGTGGAATTGGAAGCTTCTGGTACCACCACAGGCTTTCCAGACATCTGGAGGCAGAGCAGGGTGCTTCCCTGAGCCCCTACTTTTGGCCTATGCTTTTGTTTTCATGGTGGAATCAGGGCAGCTTCTGTGCCTAGGTCTTCTCATAAAAAACAGAAAAAAATAGCATTACCAGGGCCGGGCATGGTGGCTCACGACTGTAATCCCAGCCCTTTGGGAGACCAAGGGGGCAGATTACATGAGGCCAGGAGTTTGAGACCTGCCTGGCCAACATGTCTCTACTAAAAATACAAACATTAGCTGGGCGTGGTGGCATGCACTTATAGTTCCAGATATGTGGGAGGCTGAGGTGTGAGAATTGCCTGAACCTGGGAAGTGGAGGTTGCAGTGAGCCATTGCACTCTAGCCTGGGTGAAGGGAGACCTTGTCTCAAAAACAAACAAAAAGCATAGCTCACACCCCTACTCAGGAGAGCTTCCCTACAGGCAGGACACCAGAGGCACACACTCTCCCTACAAAGGGTTTTATACCCACACTTAGGGATAAGAAGATTCACAGGAAGCAGGCCAGCTCAGACCATTGTGCACAGATAACCTCAGTGGCCAGCAGCACTAACAGGGTGTGAAGCCAGAACGGGGAACAGGTGAGCCCTGAGCCCCAGGTCCACTCCACTTCCTCTTCAAGCCTGGGATAGTACACCTGCTAGATTGAATACCTGGAGTTGGGACAGCAGGGTCTTAATATTTGTAGGCTAGTTTCTTGGAGAAAACACCCAATCAGAGCTACGAAGGTGGTGGGTGCGTGGGGAGCTAGATAATTATGCAATATGTGGACCATGGTGGGGTGTGATAAAAATTGAGAGAACACATTCAGGCCTGACAAAGGACCTGGGTGAGAGGCCAGAAGAAACCTCACATGGAAATTTGGGAACTGCAAATGCCCAACTCAAAATGCCAATGCAAAGGGAAAGGAAAGGCATCACCTAAGTAATGCAAGCAGAAGGTAAGAAATTCAAGGAAGGCGCCTCCTGTGTGTGGCCCTGGGCCAGCATTCCCAGTGCCAGCATTCCCAGTGCCGTACTCACCTCACTACCAAGGGACCCGGCAGACTCAGGTCTGCTGGGGCCTGAGATGCACCATGTGTCAGTGACCCAGAAGAAAGTGCAAAAGGGGGCTGGGCACACTGGCTCACACCTGTAATCCCAGCACTTTGGGAGGCTGAGGTGGGTGGATCACGAGGTCAAGAGATCAAGACCATCCTGGCCAACATGGTGAAACCCCGTCTCTACTAAAAAATATACAAAAATTAGCTGGGCATGGTGGTGCGTGCCTGTAGTCCCAGCTACTCGGGAGGCTGAAGCAGGAGAATCACTTAAACCCAGAGGCAGAGGTTGCAGTGAGCCGAGATCGTGCCACTGGACTCCAGCCTGGCAAAAGCGAGACTCCATCTCAAAAAAAAGAAAAAGCAAAAGGGAAGAGGGCCGCAAGAGAAGGCTGCTCTTGGAATTTGTTGTGGGCAGTTTTGTGCCAGCTCCTTCTCCATGTTTCTCATTCCTTTCTGACTCCAGGGTTGAACAATGTCGCTCACTACCAGCCCCTTGCACTGCTCAGACGCTGCTGGGGGCCTGGCTGCCTGCAGGGGTCTGAGGAACTGGTCCATCTATGCCTCTGTCTCTGTGCCTACCTCCACTCCCACTGTTCTTGGGGGTCAACATTAGCAAACAGAACACCTCCCACAATCTCCAAACTCAGACACCGCATTATTTATGCAAATACAACACCCCCATTCAAATTTTAAATACATCATCATGCCAGGCGACTTCATCTCACCCAACAGGAACATAGCAACACTGGGCTAACTCGGGGAATCATGCTGCAACCTACTCCCCTCCTACACCTTATCCCCACAGCCCAGTAGCTTGGAAGTGGAAACCTGTACCTCACACCTGACTACCCCACAAGGCCAGCTGGAATCCAGGGGCTGAGTCCCCATGCCCACCCCCGGGCACTCACTTCAGCATGTCCTTGTCCTTGTTGAGGTGCTGGAAGAAAGAGGGCTCGCAGATGAGCTGGCTCTCCTGGCACACCTGCTTGCAGGACTGTCCGGGCTCCGCAAGCTTGACCTGCAGGGCGCTGAGGGGCGGCCACATCACTTGCCCATGGCAGAAGTCCTAGAATGACAATGAAGCCATCAGCCACAGGTCCAAGGATACAGCTGGGGATCCCCAGCCCTGCCAACCAACCCCGGCAATGGGAGGTGGCACACTGGGAGAGAACAGTGATGGGATGGGGAAGAGCTGGGAGCCACGCAGATGGGCTGGACTGGGGCTCAGCTGGAATATGCCTTCAGGTCAGATCTTGACCTCCCTAACCCCCAGCTTACTCAACCCCAAGATGGGAACCAACAGCTGTGCCTTCCACAAAGGGCTCCAGGATGAGAGGTCATACCTGCGATGAATACCACACCACCCCTGCCCATGAAGGGTGGCTATTCTAAATCATTGTCATCGACACTTATGCAGCCAGGCTATTCAGAGCCTCTGTGCTTCAAGGCCCATCTTCAGGCCTGCCTCCACCAGCTGGTCTGTTCCCTTCTCTCTCATTCCAAAGGCACTGTGTCTGCCCTAACTTGGCAGTTACCTAATACGACACTGTTTCATGAGCGCTACTTCTATCTCAATGGCATGGTTCTGACGCTGTGAGGTAAAGATCACGCCAAGGAGACTGCAGACACTTCTGACGCCACCTCATATGGTGCTATGTCCTTAGTAGGACTTAGTGCTGGCTGGCTGAAAACAAGTACAGTGAGTCCTCACTTAATGTCATCATAGTCTCCGAAACTGCAATGTTAAGTGAAATGACAATGTAAAGAAACCAATTTTGCAACAGGCTAATTGATATTAACAAGAGTTAACTTTCTATAGCACATTTCTTGTCAAAAACATCACCAAGCTTCTAAATAAAGACCCAAAACACTTCTAATATTAAATACTGAAACAAATGTGAGCTATACATACATTTAAGAAAGATTAATAAATACAAGTAAGATAAATTATTTACTCAATTTTTGGTGAATCAGTGAGTGATGAGAGTTGTAGCGGTGTTGGGTTCAATCAAGGAATACACACTTGTGAAGTGAAAATCGCAAGGAATGCCTTCTCCCACCTCGTAATTCATATCAATCAGTCACTAACATGGCACCACAATCAGGCCTGCCTCCACCAGCTGGTCTGTTCCCTTCTCTCTGACTTGCTGCATGTGTATGATTATCGTAGACTTTATGAAGTTTTATTGTACAATAATTTGTACTGATACATGTTTTCGAACCCTCTTATTCCAGCTTAGGGTTAAGGGTGGCTGGAGCCCATTCCAGCAGCTCAGGGTGCCAGGCAGAAAGCAGCCCTGCACAGGACACAGTTCCATCCCAGGGTGCACTTAACCCACATCCCCACTCATTCATGCTGGGACCATGTAAACATGTCAGTTCACCTCAGGTGCCCAGCTTTGGGATGTGGGAGAAAACCGGAGTCCCTGGAGAAAACGCATGAAGATGATGGAGAATGGGTTGACTCCACACAGACAGGGGGTCCAGCCAGGAATCAACTTTCTTCATTCTCAACATTATAGCAAAATGACATTATTTGAGAATGTTCTGTCTAACATTTCATTTATTCAACAACTGGAGAAATAGTCTAAGTAGCATGTGAGAGTATGAGGCAGAACATGGCACCACTACCAAGAATGTGTGTTAGGTGCTCTGAGTGGGGCAGAGCCAGTCTTCCCTGGATTCTAGAGGGAGTGGAAGAGACCAGCAAGTGCAAGAGGCCTCGGGGATGAAGAGAGGGTTGGAGGGCGGCCCCTGAGAAGCAACACAGAGTACCAGCATCAGGAGTGGTAAGGAAATGTACTTTGCAATGTGTGTCCTTCTGGAGTATCCTACTTTCCCTCACGTTTCCTTTCCAGATCTGTGTGGAGAGGAGTTGATCAGTAATTTCAGGGCCCAGGGTTCCTAGCACTAGTGCAGCCTGAGGAAATGTTTCTGCCCCTCCCTTGTCTGTCATGTGGAATGCCACCACAGGGATATGAGGGCCTCACGCTGCCAGGAGGGTCCCTTGGCATAGAGGTGGGTGTAGCACCGGAACAGAGGTCAGTCAGAGCTGCATACAGGAGGCATACTGTTGCCATTTCTCTCTCTTTTAAACCTTGTGCTTGTATTTTTTTTTTTTTTTTTGAGACGGAGTCTTGTTCTGTCACCCAGCAGGCTAGAGTAAAGTGGCACGATCTCGGCTCACTGCAACCTCCGCCTCCTGGGTTCAAGTGATTCTCCTGCCTCAGCCATCAGAGTAGCTGGAACTACAGGCATCCACCACCACACCTGGCTAATTTTTCTATTTTTAGTAGAGACAGGGTTTCACAATGCTGGCCAGGCTGGTCTTGAACTCCTGACCTCAGGTGATTCACCCACCTTGGCCCCCCCAAAGTGCTGACATTATAGGCACGAGGCACCGTGCCTGGCCTTGTATCACTTTTAATAAGCCAAAAGACAACAAGAAAGAGCAAAGCCAAACTCACCCCAGGCACCGTGGGTGGCTGGCCCTGAGAGCACATCCTGTCTCTTGCTTTTACTAGCTGTGTGAACCTTTGGGCAAAATATCTAACAGTCTGAAGCCCTAGTTTCCTCATCAGAAAAAGGGAGATGATACTGATGATTTCTTAGGGTTATTGCTTCTTTCTAGCTCCTTGAAGGAAGAAATGCTAAGAAAGGTATCGCCTGCTGAGAAAGGCAACTGCAGGTTGCTACCAGGTTACTTGGTGCTAGCTTCTCTAGAGTCTCCTTAAATCTAGGATTGTGATTCCAACAAGGCAGGCAAACCCACTGCTGCCCTCCACTCACGTGTTCCTATCATGAGGGGACTCGACTACTCCAGCCTGAGTGAGTTTTGGTGGTGAACAAGCAAAATACTTCACCAAACAGTTGGCAGGAAACCTGAAACATGGATTCTTACCAGCTGACAACAATTCCCGGAAGGTCTCGTAATTCAGAGATGAAAGAAACACACTGAGTTATTGAGGAATATTAGGATGCAGCTTAATCTTCTGAAAATGATGCACAGTGGGTGAGTGGGTAAACAGAGCATCCCAGGACCCACACAGCCCTGGGTAACACCAAAGACAGACAATTGGACAGGAAGACCCTCAAATGACTCCTTACATTCATGGTGACTTCGGGCATAATCCAGGCCCCTGTTAAGTCATAGGTGGCAAGATAACTTGAGTCTGAATGCTGCTACTACGGCTGACAGCATGGCTGCACAGACCTGTAGGACCCTGAGTGGGGACATAGTGATCACTGGTGGCCGTTGCTTTCTTAGGTGACAAGAAACCTGCTGGTTAGCCTTTGACACTCTGCCCATCCCATCAGGACGGTTGTCATCAGACAGGAAGAATGAAAGCACACAGTGGTCAATGGAGTTACTGATGATCAGAGCTTAATGGGGGCATGGGCATTTGGAAAAGGTAAAGTGTCTTTTGACTGGCTAAGGCAAGCGACTTTGTTTATATAGGTTGAATATCCCTTATCTGAAATGCTCAGGAAGAGAAGTGTTTGATTTTTTTCAGATTTTGGAATATTTACATATATATAGTAAGCTATCTTAGAGATGAGACTCAAATCTAAACATAAAATCCATTTATGTTTCATGTATACCTTATACATGGAGGCTAAAGGTAGTTTTATACAATATTTTAGACAATATTTTAGATATTTTTATGCATTAAACAAAGTTAAAGTACTTATGTGTGAAATTTTCGATGGTAGTATACGTTGGTGCTCAAATAGTTTCAGATTTTGGATTTTCACATTAGGATGCTCAATCTATAATTTTTTTTTTTTTTTTTTTTTTGAGGTAGAATCTTGCTCTCTCGCCCAGGTTGGAGTGCAGAGGTGCAATCTCAGTTCGCCGCAACCTCCGACTCCCAGGTTCAAGCAATTCTCCTGCCTCAGTCTCCTGAGTACCTGGGATTACAGGTACATGCCATCACATCCAGCTAATTTTTGTATTTTTAGTAAAGACGGAATTTTGCCATGTTGGCTGGCTGACCTCGAACTCCTAATCTCAGGTGATTCACTCACCTCGGCTTCCCAAAGTGCTAGGATTACAGGTGTGAGTCACCATGCCCAGCCCGCTCAACCTGTAATTCTTTAGGAGCAGTTGGATAACTTCAACAGCCTTTATATTTTATAATAAAGATATTTTTAAATCCACATACACCACAGCATGTGACTGAACAGAACGGATAAGACAACCGGGAAATCTGGACTGGATCATATCATCTACATCAGAAGAAGCCAAGTGGGAATGTTTCTCTCTGTGTTAGATTTGGCTTGACCCAGTCCTGGACTAGCTGGGGAAGTGAAGATCCATGAAGGCTGAAAGCTCTTGTTTGGGCTTTCACGGCTTGTAAGAAAACTGTGGACCATCTCTGCTTATGTGACACCTACCAACACAGCTGAGGGCAGTATCTCTGTACCTGTTGAGTTTGGGGACTGTTTAGAAACTTGGCTCCATATTCATGCTCAGGCTCATGGGATACGGGAAGCAGCACAAGGGTAACACTGAAGCCAGAGGCTGGGCACAGTGGCTTACGCCTGTAATCCCACCACTTTGGGAGCCTGAGCCGGGGGGAATCACCTGAGCTTAGGAGTTCGAGACCAGTCTGGCAAACATGATGAAAACCTGTCTCTAGTAAAAATACAAAAAAACTGGCTGGGTGTGGTGGTAGACACCTGTAATCCCAGCTACTCAGAAGGCTAAGGAAGGAGAATCGCTTGAATCTGGGAGGCGAAGCCTGCAGTGAGCCGAGATGACGCCACTGCACTCCAGCCTGGACGACAGAGCGAGACTCTGCCTCAAAAAACAAAACCCTGAAGCCAGAGCAGAGTCTTGCTTTGTTTGACAGGAAGGAAGTGACGTGGCAAAGGAATGTGCTTCAAGTCAGAAGGAGCAGACTGGAAGCCTTACCCTACCACTGTGGTGCTCTGGGCATGTTATCTGGTCTAGTTTCTTCTACTTGTCTGCAGAGAGTGACACTAACAGATAGTAAGGCATGGAGCTGAGCAGAACGCTGGCAAACAGCAGGTGCTCCATAAATACTCCTTTCCCTCCTGTTA